GAATATAAAAGGATCATTCTGGCCCTTAACTGGAGAATAAATTGTAGGAGGACAAGGTTGAAAGAGATAGACAAGTTAGGAAGCTAATCTATAGATCATTTTGACAGCTTGCACTCTGGTCTCATCCAAGTCCACCTAAATGTAATTTGTTATCTCTACCACCTGTCTCCTTTTTTTTCCATCCATATTATCCAATCCAGAAATCATTACCTACTATTTTCACTATTATAATACTAGACACTCTAGTTTGGGGCCTACAAGTTTGAAGAAGATAACAGTAGAGCTTTGCATTCATGCCTTAAACAGTTCTATAGACAAAATTGAATAGAACAGAAAAATAAATAGTACATTGTTGAAATGAAAACTATGTGGCATAGTTGAAGGTTTGGGTACCCCATAGCAGCAAATAAAAACAAAAAATAATCATAAAATGCTCAGTTGAAAATCTTTGAGAATTTCTGCATTAATGTACATTTATAGACATATAAGCCTAATCTTTTAGAATGCTTGATTTTTGACTTTGTTTCAAAGAAACAGGTGCAATTATATTATTTGTTCACTTTAATTCACAGACAACATACGGGAATTAATTTTTAAAATATACTAAAACCTAAATAGGCAACGGTATCAGCCAGTATCAGGATATTTGACTTTTCTAATCAAAAAACAAAATTATATCTTCACAATCTTGAAACATACAATAATTTCATGTTCTTAAATATAATGCCATACTTCCAAATATAGCATAAAGGAGCTAAAGGCAAATGCTTAAAGCTGAGTATCTTCAATAGCTAAGAAAAGTAATGTAATAAAACATGGGATTTTATTCCTAGAAAGTATAATTGGATTTAGTGACTATCAAAAGCAATTATTATATTAACATTTACCTTTATTTGTAATAGTTCTAGAAATAAGAAATGGAGCTGTGGCAATTTAAACAATTCACTTTTCTTAAAAAGACAGTCTGAATATTGTCAAAACTGACCTGTGAGTTCACTAGCTCTATAAAAATTGTGTTAATATTTACTTAACAGAAGGAGGAGAAAGTTCAAAGCGAATAAGACAGTTACAAATTAACACCAACTATATGCAAAGCTACATAAATGATTTAATATAGCACTCTTATGCTACTGTATACTCAAGAAAATTAGAATGTAATTCAATTTTTAATACATGGGTTTTTACAATTTATAATTATATAGACATGATCATTATTTGTCTGCTTAAAGAGTTTCTCATTGCTATTGATTTGCCTTTCTTTGAAAAGCAGGAGACTATAATAGTTCCTTTAGCTAGTGCATCTCAAATCTGTTACTAAGAGAAAAGAACCTTGAATAAGAAAAAAGCATGTCACTTCTTTCAAGCTTCATTTCTTCTATTTTATCAGGGGAAAAGAGGGCCTTATAAAAATTGACCAATGCAGTAGAGTTTGAATTTATATTCTCCTAAAATGGTAAACATAATAAATTGAGAAACAAACGCTTAATTTTATTTCATACCAGTTGTAGCTAGACATAATTATAGCAGAAGAACTGACTTTATAGCAATTGTAAAAATGTAAATAAGGCTTTAAAACTGACTCAGGAATTATATTTTATAAATGAAGCTTTGATTTTAATGTAAAAAATTATCTTAGGGCATGATATGCATTATTCAAAATGTCCTGCCTTTGTTACCATTGAAATGGTAGTTATACTTCAGAAAACCGAGGGACAGAAACACCTGTTTCTTATCAAATCATATCTCCTAGTGATTACAATAATTTTATGTACAAGATAGACTTTAAATACCGCAGTATTTTAAAGTTTATATTTTTAGATAAAAGTTTATTTTTAAAATACCAGTGGAAAATGTGAAACAAAATGTAATGTGACAATTATCAATTTTAGTCCAAATATTCTTAATAGCAAAGTATCAAGTGTCTACATCTAAAACGCTTTTCGTAACTTGTATTGATTTTTGTCCTAATGCAAACATTTAACTATTAAAATTTGGAAAATAATTAAATATTTTTAAAAGCAGTAAAAACTTTCAATAATTTGTTTTATTTTCTTCAAATCACCAGCCCATTTGGTGAGGTATTTGTCTATATAAAATTAGGATAATACTAAATTTATTTTTATAAATTGCTTTTTTATTAGTTCCAAAGCTTATGAGATATTAAAGTACATTTTAATTGAAAAAAAAAATCAAATGGCTTTTAAATCGATGTTTTCTTTTAAAAGAATGAAGTCCATGCCAAGTTGAGTCATGAAGAGAAATGTCAGTGCGATCCCTGGCAGCTGCTCGCTTCCCTGGGAAGGAAGGGCTGGTTAGGAGTACAGTAGCTAGCAAACCCCTCAGCACTCCACAAAGTCACTAGTGGGAAAAGAACAAAGGCCTTTCCAATGCAACTAACACAGATGTGCCCAAAGGCAAACTGTCAGAAACAGTTAAGATGACAGCTACTCACAGTTCATTATTTCCTTCTCACAGGTCACTGGGTGACAAGCTGGGTCAGCATGCTTTGTTGGCTGTCCCAGTCCTTCTCCACCCCCTATTCCATTTAAATAAGAGTAAAGGACTCCTTTGGATAAACTAATGTAAACAAACACATTCCAGACACTTAATGCCAGAATATGGCATTTACTTTACTTTGGACCAAACTTAGAATTCAATGTACACACAACTTATTTTATCGAAGCAAGGATAGAAGCACACTTCTATGCCTACTTTTCAGTGATTATTTTAGACTGTGGGTGCATGTGTGTGCGTGTGTGTGTGTTTTAAGAGGTAAAGAAACTGAAATTACATCTACTGTGGTAAATTGTGGAGGCAGAGGGGGAAGAATGTAGATAAATCCCCGCCTTAAGAAAAAAAAAAAAAAAGAAGAAGAAGAAGGCAGGAAGAGTTGCTGGAGCCTATCACATAAACCCTGAGGAATGCTCACTAAGAAACAGCCTCTGGAAGATTTCTTATGAAATCAAACCCAAACAGATTTACTAGTCAATTCCTATTGACTAAAAAGCATAAATCTAAGTAAAACCCCTATTAAAAATTCTTTTCTATCTCTGCTTGTTTTCAGAACATTTTCACAACTAACACTTGAATGCTTACTACTTTTCTGGAAACTTAAAGACATCTCACTTAATTCTAACAACCTCAGACAGGTCTTGTGGTATGGCAGCTGACACTAACTGCCCTGTCTTTTTTGGCCTCACTTTTTCTAATACTATATTCCTTTCTTCCAAAGTGCAGTCATCAGATTGCATTGCCTCAGGGAAGAAGCAACAACAGAATGCAAAAGCCAAATCCCTAAGCTACCCAGTGCCCTATAATTTTTAAGCATGGGAAGGGTGAAATAGGCAAAGCAGGTGAGTTATCATGAGGGCCAGGTAGAGCATGGGGCAAATACACAAACCCCATGTATGTTTCAGGAATCTGAGAGCAGAAGTAAACTGTGCCTCTTTCTTGAGTAGAGCCCAGGATAAGGATGAAAACCCAAGATAAGAAGATCCCAAGATAATGACAAGCGCAAGCGTTCCCTCAAAAATGGCTGAGTAGAAATGGCTGCCAAATAAGTCTAGAGAGGCCGGAAACAGCCTCATAGAGCAGTATTACGAATTCTCAAGTGTCCCAGTGTTTCCTGAGTTCCTATTTTAGATGAAAACATCAGACAAGGACTTTCCCCAAGGGATTTACATTCTAGTGATGTGAGAATAGTGGAGAGGGGCTTGGCTATATGGCTGCTCAGCCTATGGTCCTGTTGTAGATGGAGCATCAGGGAGTTGAAAATCTTGTATGTGATTAAAAAATAACTAGCAGGAAAAAGAATACCTGGAACCTAAATTTCCATACTGTTCTGACACCCCATATTATGATACAGCAAGGTACTAAATTTGTTACTTTGTGTTCTATCTTCAAAACAACAAGTACAAAAGACTTAATGTTTAAATAATAAATAATAAATTGGGAGAGTCACTTTTGCTATCTATCAGAAATAAGTTCCCCTCCTGTCAAAATTCCAGGTGGAATATGTAATTTAGTAATATAAAATAGCTTTTAATTGAAATAAAAGTTTTTTGTCTCTTTTCATGCAAGTGACATTTCTATCTACAGTTCATGTATTTAAATTTAGGAAGGCTGAGTGTGATGGCTCATGCTGATAATCCCACCACTTTGGGAGAGCGAAGTGGGAGGATTGCTTGAGGTCAGGAGTTCAAGACCAGCCTGGGCAATATAGCTAGACCCCATTTTTACAATAAATAAATTAATTAATGAAATAAAATAAATTTAGGAATTTCCTTAAACTTTAGTGAATATGGTAAGAACTATATTACTCCTTTAAGAGTATTTCAGTCAACAGTAATTTCAAACAGTTTTAGATTAAAATTACAATTTATAAAGTCAGTTTATGATTTGCAACATCAACCCCAACAAAATAATAATAATGAACTTTAGTTTCCAATTAAATAAAGAGGATCAGAGAAATTGTTTCCATTTCTTAACCAAGGATAATTTTTCAATTGGTTAGCAATATCTATGATGTTATTTTTATTCTAGGAAGGGAAACAGGGTTGATTTGTTATCACTGGTTAAGACCATCTTTTGTGCACTTAACCTTGAGTCCAAATATAATATTCTCATGGAAAATAAAAAGGATTGCCCATGGAATAGTCTTCTTCAACATATCTTGGTATTTTAACAATTGGATATATGGTCTGTAGTGCCTTAGCTTAATTGTGTTAATGACAGTTATTTCAGAGTATTTTAGTGAAATCCCAGGACAGCAACCCATCCTAAGTATAATAATAAACAATAACATACAGTACATCAATCTTCAACAAAATACACATAAATGTCACCTTTCTTCATCAAATATGACCCAAAAACTACTACGCTTGAAAGCCAACGGGCTTTTGAGATATTTCAATAATCTTCAAGAAATCAATCTTACATGAAACTGAAGGAAAACATCGAATGTCATTGAGCAATAAAGCTCAGTTCTGTCAGTACCTTACCTCTGAGCAGAAGCCTTAGGATGTTTCTCTTCCAGTTTCCTCACCAGTGCTACTGTCAGCTGCCCTATCTCCTCAAGAGAACCTTCTGGCATTAAATGGGTGTCTGAGGGTTCTGGCAGTTGCTTCAGACCAGGGTTGCTGGCACTTTCTTGCAGAACCTAATAAATGAAATATAGGAATAAAGTAGCTAATTTTCATTGCGTGGAAATATCTAAACTGTACATACCAAAAATATAACACTGCAGTTTTCATGGTTCCTTCAGTGTTTCTACAACACATAAGTCTTTTGTACGTGGCCAAAAAAAGGCAATCCTAAGAAAAAAGGTTATATATAAACATACATGTTTATATAAATATAAATGTGCATATAGATACTATATTATGTGTATTAGTTTAAACTATCCATAACATTAATTATTATTAATTATTATTAATTTGTGCTTGCCTCCCAAAAACAACTTGAACATTTTTTCTCTTTTCTTTTTTTTTTTTTTTTTTTTTGAGACGGAGTCTTGCTTTGTCGCCCAGGCTGGAATGCAGTGGCGCGATCTCGGCTCACTGCAAGCTCCGCCTCCCGGGTTCACACCATTCTCCTGCCTCAGCCTCCGAGTAGTTGGGACTATAGGCGCCCGCCACCTCGCCCGGCTAATTTTTTTTTTTTGTATTTTTAGTAGAGACGGGGTTTTACCGTGTTAGCCAGGATGGTCTCGATCTCCCGACCTCGTGATCCACCCGCCTCGGCCTCCCAAAGTGCTGGGATTACAGGAGTGAGCCACCACGCCCGGCCTCTCTTTTCAAAATACATTTTAGAGAGCTATGTCTGTCTTGCCTCTGGCTCACTACACTGACCTCTTCTAAGTTTCTGCCATGTTCCTGATGAGCTGTGGTCCAGGCACCATGGTGAATGTGATTCTCTGTCTGGGTCACATCTACTTGTGCATTTAGCTCCTCTAGGTAGGTCAGAACAAACTGAGGATAAGCCTGTAAGAAAGGAAAAAAATAACAAGTAGTATCAGCCTTATAAACAGTAGCCAAAAATCCATCCAACTGGAAAGAGGGGAGGATAAACTAGATTAAAAATAGAAAGGTCTGGCTAATAAACTTTGTACTTTATTCTCAACTTCATAACAAAATCAAGTGAAATGACTTTAATATTAACATTTCTAAATAATTGTTTAATCTGATTAAGTTTAGCTAGATAGCTAATTTTTGCCCTTAGATAAGATTAAAACAGTAAAACAATCTTAAACATTAATAATAATAGCTAAATTTATTGAGTTATTTCTATATACAAGGTATTATTGTATACACAACACATATATGTAATTGTGTAGTTGCTGTATTGTTTGGAAGTATTCAATTCTGCTCTAGAAGACAAGAAAACAAATTGAATGAATGAAATAGCTGCATTAAGCATATATAAGATAGTAACCTGAGAAATGTCAGACACAAAGTAGAGCAAATGTCTACGAACATAGAAAAGGCTCAAAAGACAAAATAGACATTTAATATTCATGACTCACTAAATAACCAACAATGCAAAAAATATTTATGATATACTAAATACAAATGAAGCACATGAGGCTCAAAATAATCATGAGGTCTTTAATTAGCCACCCATTGCTGGCTCTCATTTGGGATCTTATGAAGGATAAAATCCATCACTGCTCATCAGGCTAACTGGGGAGCACAGCTACTGGTCAAGTGACTCACACACAGCCCTCATGGAACAAGTGTGTGTCACTGGCCCAGGCATCTTTTATTTGTTGGGCTCCCAGGTCAAGTTTTCATTCTGGTTCTTGTAACTACACTAGCAGCAGGAAAGAGTAATGTAGCATAAAGGGGAGATATATAAATACTGTAACCAGATTCAGGCTAATATGACCCTTCAACCCACTTGTGTAATATTTTGATTATGTTAATCTGGCCCATCTCTCTTCCTTTACATTTTGTTTTATGTTTTAAATTGATTTAATATGTCATGATGTGAATATTTTAATTTGTTCTGTGCACTTTTGTGTACCATGAGCTCTAGCCTAGCTTACCAAGTAATACACTTGGAGGCTACCCTTGCATGGAATTAACTTCCTACATAACAACAAATTTGCATTTTAATCCTTGCAAGAGCACTTTGCAATGCGTACTATTATTGTGCCCATTTTAAAGATGAGGAAGCAGACACAGGGAATTTAAGCAACATGCTTCAGTATCAAGGGAACCCACCCCCAATATTTCAATGTAGGTTCTTTCTATTTTCCATAAGTGTCGGCTGGCTAAGAAATAAAGAGAAAGAGTACAAAGATAGGAATTCTACAGCTGGGCCGCCGGGGGTGACATCACATATCGGTAGGACTGTGATGCCCACCTGAGGCTCAAACCAGCAAGTTTTTTATTAAGGGCTTCAAAAGGGGAGGGGGTGTAAAACAGGGAGTAGGTGCAAAGATCACATGCTTCAAAGGGCAAAAAGCAGAACAAAGATCACATGCTTCTGAGGGAACAGGACAAAGGCAAAGCAGAACTACTGATAAGGGTCTATGTCCAGCTGTGCACATATTGTCTTGATAAACATCTTAAACAACAGACAACAGGGTTTGAGAGCAGATAACTGGTCTGACCACAAATTTACCAGGGCAGAGTTTTTCCCTACTCTAATAAGCCTGAGGGTACTGCAGGAGACCAGGGCGTATTTTAGTCCTTATCTCAACTGCATAGGACAGACACTCCCACAGCAGCCATTTACACACCTCCCCCAAGGAATGCATTCCTTTCCCAGGGTGTTAATATTAATATTCCTTGTTAGGAAAAGAATTTATCGATATCTCTCCTACTTGCACATCCATTTATAGGCTCTCTGCAAGAAGAAAAATATAGCTCTTTTTGCCCAACCCCGCAGGCAGTCAGACCTTATGGTTGTCTTCCCTTGTTCCCTAAAAATCGCTGTTATTCTGTTCTTTTTCAAGGTGCACTGATTTCATATTGTTCGAACACACATGTTTTACAATCAATTTGTACAGTTAACACAATTATCACAGTGGTCCTGAGGTGACGTACATCCTCAGCTTATGAAGAAAACAGGATTAAGAGATTAAAGTAAAGACAGGCATAAGAAATTATAAAAGTATTATTTGGGAGCTGATAAATGTCCATGAAATTTTCACAATTCATGTTCCTCTGCCGTGGCTCCAGCTGGTCCCTCTGTTCGGGGTCTCTGACTTCCTGCAACACATCAGTGTCATCCAGCTTGATTAATAGTCTGTCAAGCCTAAGTATGTTCCTTCAATTATAATATAAACTCCTTACTGCACTTTTTAAAGTGTGGAGTAATTCTAAAAAACAAAAATCATGAGGGAGTGTTCAGCAGATAAACGGCACTAAGGTCCTTACATTGTTCTGGAAAAATAGATACTAAATAACTTTAAACTTTGTTAGAAGATGTAATGTAAACATGCATGTTTAAAATGTGAGGCATTCCAAACCCTTAAATGCATATTACTAAGTGCAAGAGTCAATCTGAAAAGGCTACAACTATGGAGACAATAAAAAGATCAGTGGTTGCCAGTGAGGACTGAATAGGTGGAGCACAGAGGGTTTTTAGGGCTGTTAAACTATTCTGTATAATACTATAATGGTGGTTACATGTCACTGTACATTAGTTCAAACCCATAGAATGTGCCGCACCAAAAGTGAGCCCTAATGTAAACTGTAGACTTTGGTAATGATGTGTCAGTGTAGGTTCACCAGTTATAATAAATGTACCACTCTGGTGCAAGATGAAGATACTAGGGGAGGATGTGCATTTGTGGGGGTAAAGGATATATGAGAACTGTCTTACTTTATGCTTAATTTTGCTGTGAATCTAAAACTGCTCTAAAAAATAAAGTCTTATTTTAATGTAAGGGGTTCCAACAAAAGCATAAGTGGCAAAAGAAAAATAAATTGTACTACTAAAAAATTGTGTTACAAACAATGCTGTGAAGAAAGTAAAAAAAAAAAACCTACAGAATGAGACAAAATATTTTCAGATTATATGTCAGATAAGGGATGTGTATCTGGAATATATAAAGAACTCTTATACTCACTAATGAAAAGACAAATAATCCAATGAAAATACAAGTAAAGGATCTGAATAGACATTTCTCCAAAGAAGATAAACAATTTGCTAAGAAAAGATAATCAACATCACTAGTGATCAGAAAAATACAAATCAAAACCTCAATAAGATAATACTTTTTACCCACTAGGATGACAAAGAATAACAAAATCAAAATGACAGAGAATAACAAGAGTTGGCAAGAACGTGAAGGGGAAACAGCTTGGCTAGTCCTCAAAATGTTAAATGTGGAGTTTTCATATGGCCCAGCAATTCCACTCCTAGTTATATACCTATGAAAAATGAAAACATACATACACACAAAAACTTCCATACCAATGTTCATAGCAGCATTATTCAAAGTAGCCAAAATAGTGGAAACAAATAAAATGCCATTAACTGATACATGTATTAAAAGTATGATGTTTCCATACAATGGAATATTATTTGGCAACAAAAAGAAATGAACTACTAAAGCATGCTACAATGTGAATTAATTCAGAAAACATTATGCTAAGTGAAAAAAAATCAAACACAGTAGGCCATATATTATATGAGTCCATTTATATGAAATGCCCACAATGGGCAAACCTATAAAGGATGGGGAGGGGGGCAGACAGAGGTGGAGGAATAGATGTGAAGTCCAAGATGTATTTTAGGGAGAACAAAAACATTTTAAAATTAGATTGTGGTGACAGATGCACAGCTCTGTGAATATACTGAAAAACATTAAACACCTAAACTTTAAATAGGTGAATTTTCAAGAAATCTATTTTAATGTAAGAAATTTTTCAATTAAAACAGTATATAAAGTATAGCTTTAAACAAGCAAAGAAAAAGAAGAGAAAAGGGATCCAGAAAATGTCACGAAGAGATTTTTTAATGCAAATTAAAAGCATAATAAACCAAATCTTTGTTGAATTAATCAATGAGTGTATTAACAATGCAATTATTTTTCTTTTTATGTCCTGACATATATTAGTTGTACGTATTTTGGGGGCACATGTGATATTTTGATACCTGTATATAATGTGTAATGATCAAATCAGTGTAATTGGAATATCTATCACCATAAGCATTAAATGTGTAAAAATTTAAATGTGTATTCCCTTTGACTTAACAAATATATACATATTACAAAGATGTCCATTGCAGCATTGCTAATATTTAACTAAATGTACATCACCAGGAAAATTTTAAAAGACAGCATAGATGTGGATGTCAGTATGAAAAGATGGCCACAATACATATCTTATCAAGTGGGAAAAAGTATATCACAAAGTAATATGTATAGTTTTGTCTGGGGGTGGGTATGTGTCTCTAATCAAGAATGATACACTATCAACAATAATATTGGAGGAATAGTTCAAGAGCTACTTTTGCTTATCATTTTATTCAGTTCTGAATTATCGGAGATGTTTTTCAAAACTAACATGTATCCCTTTTATTATTTAAATGAGAACCATTTTACACATGCAAATATATGTGTAATAATTTTGGGGAATATACAAAAAGCATGCTGTTAGTGAATAACTCTGGGAAATGGGAATAAAGTTTGAGAAGAAGAGACTTTACTTCTCATTAATGTATTTTTTCTAATATTAATTTTTATCACATATTATTTTTATAAAAATTAATACTTAAAAAAGAATTGAAAATAGTTATATTATTGCACATACTATTCAGATAATTTTGGAAAGAGATTTTTGAATCATTAAGCTAATCCAAAACATTAGCAAAAAGAAGTTTAATCTAAAAAAATTAGGATTTACATTGTACCTTTAATCTTATTCATCTTTATTGCATTATGCTACTTTTTGTTTTCTTAAGTCAGTTCTTATTGTCTTAAGTACATTTAAGACAATTCAACTGAAAATAATGTGATGGGTAA